GCTGACTTCTACAGGGCTCTGAAAAGGATCATGGGGCCATCTATGTGGAGTCCCATTGAAGTCAATAGATCCCACTGTAGGACTGGGCTACTGTCCTTCATAGCAATGTTTCTTTGCACCTTGCTAAAGCTGCAGTTTCCAAAAGCAAAGCCAGACTGGAAAACAAATCCATCCTTTCTTTGCTGTAAGAGAATGCTTGATTTGGGGATTTAACAAATAGATTTCGATCAAAAAAGGTATTATAACGACAACCACATACTATTCTTTTGTTTTGGGTAGGGGAGACAGACACAAGTACGTTGCATTTTAAGTAGGGGAAAGAGTGGGTTTTGTTTTTTAAGGACACAAAATCTATGTACAGCTGAATATAAGCTGGTACAATTGTTTCATTGTCAAATGATCACTTCCATTTTTGACATAAAATGTTTTTTTTGGAAAAGACCTATTTTAAAAGAGGGGCTCATTGGTGAAAGATTAATTTCTTTGTCAAACCTGACTCTAAAAAGAAATTGAAATCTCAACTTGATCAAATCCATGGTGGATTCAAATGGAAAGGTAGATCAAAGTGCTCGATAGCTGCACATCATGATGAAATCGTTGCACAGCTTAAACATTCACATTTAGAAAAAGTTGTGGTAATAATTAGAGTTTTTCAAAAATGGAAGGATAGCAAATGAGATCTCACCCAGCCCCAAGGCGCTGGGGAGGGAGCCAGACATTTTCTAATCCTGGAAGTTTGCCCCTACTTTTGTGACTCGTTTTTCTCATTATGAAACCCTCCTCCAGCAATGGGTCTCATTCAAACAACAACCAAGCAGGGATTCTTTTTTAATAAATTCAATTAAAAATTCATTACTTCTCCCAACCCCTGATCCCTGTTTTTATTCTGTTTTAATGGCATGGATCTATTCACATACATCCAAGTCACCCCAGATGAAATTAAGGTTGGTAACCTTTACTAAAGGCCACATGCTTAACACTCCTTCAAGTCAGCAGGCATTCAAGTACCTGTAACGTAAAGGTTAACAAACAAACCTAGAACAGAAAAACCAAGAGAGGAAAGCAACAAGGAGAGACTTTTGCTTGAGCACCATTTGAATTAAGACAAAAACAAACACTGACACATTCATAGGACATGATAAAGGAGGATTTTGTTTGCTACAGAAACTGCACAGCCCTGTATGGCATAGTGACATGTGAGGGTGTGAAACATGCTTAGCATCCTTCAGGAGCACTGGCTGATAAACATTTTCACTGTGGCTAATGCATAAAGTTCTAAACTGGATCTGCATCCAACTCTCAAAACTTAGCGAGGAACTGAATCGCCACACATGGGCCGAGAGATCTATGGCCATTAGCAAGGTTGGCAGTGAGATGCATTCTTTGCTAGAGAGATGGCTATGCCTTGGTAACATGTTATACAGAAAAGTGTCTCATACCTATCCGAAACCGTTCTCAAGTTCAGCTTTTTATAGTTGCTTCTTTAAGTAGTGATTTGTAAACAGAAAGAGCCTTGAACAATATTCAGATTTAGCCCCCTTACTCTTTTTTCCACCCATGGAAACGACATATAAAAAGAATGTTGAAGAGATGCTGTCAAAGAGTTTTAGCCCAAGATTTCAACTGCTGCCCTTTCTTCAGAACCCATCCTACTCAGCCAAGAAAGCATATTACATAAAATAGGGGGGAGGTCTAGCTCAGTGGTTTGAGCATTGGCCTGCTAAACCCAGGGTTGTGAGTTCAATCCTTGAGGGGGCCACCTAGGGATCTGGGGCAAAATCAGTACTTGGTCCTGCTGGTGAAGGCAGGGGACTGGACTCGATGACCTTTTGGGGTCCCTTACAGCCCTATGAGATAGGTATATCTCCATATTAAAAAAAGAAAAGAAAAGCAGAACTCTGGGCATTATTTTTATATAATGAACTAGCCCCCGCAACCTTCAGGCACTTCTCCTGCTGGCTAGAGGCCCGTTACCTAGCTCCCAGAACGAGCTGCTGAAACAGCCATGTGCTTGTCCACAAACAAGACAAACAAACCAGGAGCTGTGCTGGGTTTGTCCACTACTTTGAATGACAGGACAAAATGTTCACAAATGGGTGCCTTGAAGATAGGCCATATTTTAGCACCTAAATAAGAGGCCTCAAGAAAGGAGACCCAATGGGAGCAGTTGGGTGATCAGCACTTTTGAAAATCAGGCCAACAGAGTTTAGTTTCTTGCTCCCTAATTGGCAACTGCAAAAATTAGAGTAAGGAAAGTTCAAAAGACCTTGGCAGTGTCCTTTATGGGGTTTGGCTCAGACTTAAATAACACAGCCAGGAACTTGAGAACTCTGCCCCTAACTCACTGTATTGTACTTGGTTATTGCGGTTCATATGGAAAGAAAGCCACTGGTTGGAATATCCCGACAGGAGATCATGTACTAACAAACAGTAATAGTATTGTGCACTTCTGTATCTTACTGATGAGGAGCTTATATGTTTTGCTACAAACATTAATTAAATTAATCACCCCTCCAGGAGATAGACATTACTATGTCAATTTTACAGCAGGCTAAACTGAGGCACACAGTGATTAAGTGATTTGACCAAAGCCACATGCGGAATCAGTGGCTGAGTTAGGAATAGAACCCAGTAACTCTGACCCAACCACCTTCAGTCGTTCTCTGGCTTCGAGAGCATGCTCTCTCCATCCCCTGTATCAACTGTCTAGACCAGGTGTTCTCACAACAATTTTTTTGATGGCCTCAGAGAGTGGCCACCAACTCTTGCTGATAGCTGCTCTGACAATTTTTCCTAAAATATTTAATTAACTTTAGGAAAAAACAAATAAATATGTACATATACATGTCCAAATCATTGTAATTTATTTGTGTTGGTTGTTTTTTTTTTTTGCAGATAAAAATAACGTACAGTTGTCTCTCTTCTTTGCTGGATCTAAACAGAATTGAAACACTAATAAGGTGCTTTGCACGTTCTTGTCTTTTGTCGTTGTTTTTAAAAGAGTTGCTGGCTAGTAAGTCTGCTGCAGTGAAAAGTGATGCTAGCATATTAATATCACTTTGCACAGCCTTCCAGCTAGCTGCTAAGTCTGCTGTGAAAAGTGATATTAACAAACATACAAGTATCACTTTTCACAGCAGACTTACTCAGCACCAGCAAGCCAGGGGCCAAAGTAAACCCTGGATGGGGGAGGTGGATAGGGGAGGCAAGTGGGCCAGGGCAATAAGGGGAATGGGTGGGGGGCTGGCAGAGGCAGCAGGGGCCAGGGGTAATGGGGGGTGGGGTGTGAGCCTACTGCTGCACAGCCAAGGGCCAGGGCTGGAGCCTGCTGTGGTACAGCTTGGGAGATAGAGCTTTGTGCCCTGCACCCGGGGAACAGGGCTTGGACCACAGGGCGGAGATGAAGCCTCACGCCTGGAGCCTGCTGCTCACCACCCCAAGGCTGAAGCCTGATCTCACTGTCCCCACAGAAAGGTGGGGAACTCACTGGCTGCCTGCTCCTCCAGCGTTTGTGTCCCCATAGGGGAATAAGGCCCAGCCCCTGCTGGTGGCTCCATGGGAAGGGCCGCTGCTTTCCCCCCCTTTCCTCCAATCACCACCCAGGAGTGTGGCCACAAGAAAAGTCCCTGGTGGCCACATTTGAGAAACACTGGTCTAGACACAAAGGAATGAGGTAAGGAATGCTCTGCAGTGGTTTTATCTGGGGCCAAAGTCACACCTTCTTGCTGTTATTTTAACACACTTTTTTGAGCGTGATTATTGTTATCAAATACCCAGAGACATCTCACGGAAATATGTGACAGTTAAAACAATTGATAAAAGTGCTTATTTATCCAATAGATTGTAATCGCTTCTTTTTAGCTTAAATCGGTGTTTTTATTTTATTCCCACAATTTAAACATATACGTAACTAGTTCACACTATGGAGTAAATAACGGAAAATGTTTCTGTTTGAAATGAGAAAACCATTTGTGAGTTATAAGGAGAACAGAAAAGCACCTGGAACTACCAGATCTATCTTTGGGCCAGATTCTACCTTGAGTTACTGTGGGTTAAATCTGTAGTAACTACTGCCACTGATAGACATACTCCATACCAACAGAACTCCAAGATGGAATCTGGCTACTTGCTTTCACTCTTACAACTACAAAATACCTAGACTGATTTGATTTTCCTCAATACAACTGGTTTCAGGCAAAGTCCTTATAAGTCAAGCTCTTCCTCCCATCCCCCTTCAAAACAAGGGGATTAAAATGGGAATGTTGATAGACCCTTAACTATTGTGACATAAATAATGCCACCATGATACATATTCCCATGTGCACAAGAAGAGCAACTCATGCAAACTGTAGCTTACCCATCACTGTAGCTATAGCTGCTATATTTTCCTCCACTCATAACAGGTATATAATAAAACAGAACTTCCAAACTCCTGCCACACCCTGATGAGAGAAGTCAGGATGATTTCTTATGATTCATTCATAACTCAAATATAACCACCACCAATAAAAGGCATTGGATTCCTCCTCTTTGACTTTCATCCTATCTGTTTTGTTCTTTGTGCAAACCAGACAATTGACTAATATTTCCTAGGCATCAATCTTTTCTCCCCCATTTAAAAAAATAGGGTTTAATTGTCTTTGTTCCCTAAACAGAAGGATCTTAACTATGCTTCACTAAATGGACATTCTTCAGCTTTCCCTCTGTGCAATAGAATGGTTGATACATTTAATGTCATTGACTTGAGCAGTGAAAGAGAAAATTAAAAAACTAAAACCAAAAAAGGCATTAAGTGAAACAATGTTTAATTTCTGTCCTGTTTGTGCTTGATTTTTTTTTAAACTGCTGCATTTTCTACCTGTGAGAGCTGAACTTTTAATTTTGCAATTTTCACTCAGTTTTCCCTGCAATGATATTAAAATGCTTGTAAGAAAGCAATGGCAGCTTCACATGTTTGTAAGAAAGGAATGGCAACTTGGAAATATTCACACCCAACACCATTTTGATTAAAGAAAGAACTCTGTTTTTAATAGTTGTGGGTTTTTTTGATCATTAAAAAAGTTTTAACCTGCATAGCAATCATTTCAAAAATAATTATTTAATGTTCCATAATGAAACTGTACACAACCTAGTCTTGAACGACAGAAGCCTGGGAGGTGGTTTGAAGCAGTCCAGCACAATGATTCCTTGGAGCCACACAACTCTGCTTTCCACTTGCATGTGTTTTTGTCCTCGTTACAGTCTGGCTCCAAGTGTCCGTGGATCTGCACTGGGCATGGAGAACAGTTCAGGCCCCTCAGCAGGGCTCCTCAAAGTCGTTCAATGTCTCGATATTTCTTCCTCAGGATGGAGACCTGATCTTTAAAGAGGACAGGGTCAAGCCTCATCTGAGAATGGATCAGCGGCATATAGCCAAACCAGCTGGCGAAAGTGTTCATGCAGCTCTGCCGCTGGGCAAAATGATCTGGGTCAGCCCAGCGGGAAGCCCTGGAAGTCTGAATGGAGAGAAAGGAAATGCTAAGTCATGGTGTCAACAATGCTCTGTAAATGGCAGGAGACAAGAGGTTATCAAGGCTGTGCTGTGAGGTGATCCCAGCACCTCATCACCTGGCTCTAAAACCTCAACATAGGGCTGAAATTTGGTAAGAAATACATATTTGGTACACCTCTACCCCGATAGAACGCTGTCCTCGGGAGCCAAAAAATCTTACCACACTATAGGTGAAACCGCGTTATAGCGAACTTGCTTTGATCCGCCGGAGTGCGCAGCCCCGCCTCCTCGGAGGGCTGCTTCACCGCGTTATATCCGAATTCGTGTTATATCAGGTCGCGTTATATTGGGGTAGAGGTGTAGCTATAGTTCAAGCCACGTGGATCAAATTCTGACCTTAGTAACAGCTGGACAATATTCTTACTTATTATTTGTATTATAGTGGCGCCTAGGAGCCCGAGTCATGGACTGGGACCCATTGTGCCAGGCGCTGTACAAACCAAAGAGAAAGACAGTCTCTGCCCCAAGGGGCTTACAGTCTAAGTGTAAGGCAAGAGACAACAGATGGAGACAGACAGATGGGGGAGTACAAGGAAATAATGAAACAATATTGGTCAACATGATAAGCAGTGCATGCCTTTGCCTTTGTGACTGTTAAAAGTCTTTTGGTTTATGATGATCATTAGGCTTGTTTAGAACAGAAATATCTCGGGATAAATCCCCAGAAATACGTCAAAGCATTACTCTAGAATCTCTCTATTTCAACCCAATTCCCAGATTATTTTTGATAGCGGACAATAAAACATTACTCCCCCGCAAAAGGCCAAGCCATTGGGGGTGCAAATGTCAGAGCTAATTGTGCAACCCTCAAGCTATATTCTAACACACGTCATCAGTGGGCACCCATGGCAGCTTGACTAGCCAGAGTGCTCACGTAAGAGCTTCAAAATGGCCCCCAAACTAACGGCTCAGGTGCCGTTGACCTATGGACCTATAGACTGAGGCCTATGAGAGTTGGAGGAAGCCATAAAATGCCTAATTCCTGGAGTTGACGTTGGAGTCAATTTCAGTGGAGAATGTTGAGCAGCTCACAGGACTGAGCCGTAAGAGATGAACACTGTAACACCATTATAGTTTGTCAGGTCAAAAATTCATTTTGAGGGCCCAGTCCTGCATCCCTTATGTATGAGTAATTCCACTGAGTTCGTGAGTCCAGTGGAACTTCTTAATGCAAAAACTCACTCAGGTGTGTAAGTGTCAGCATGATCAGGGCTGTAGAATATTGCCTACAAATAAATGGCACTGCAGGTGCACAGACAGCACAGCACGGTGGATGGAGCCAGCACAATACACTTCGATAGAGAAGTAGAGAAAATAAACTGGAATCACAAAAGTGATTACATCCCATCAGGTCATGCTAATAATATAGCACTTTTCAAAATTAGTATGAAAGCCACATTTCGTATATACCTAAAATACTAACAACCTTATTTTCAGAGGTTCTGATCATCCACAACTCCCATTAAGGTCCATAGCAGCTATAGGTACTCAGCACCTCTGAAAAATCAGGCCCTAAAAGCTTTGAAGGAGTTGTTATTCTCTATTTGGAAAATAATGCACCTCACTGTATGTAGGAACCCACTCAATCCAAAACAATTCTTCGAAACAACAGACTGTAAGTGCTCAGAAAGTGCCATTAAAATCGATTTTGTGCCATCTCTCATATGTTTGCATGACACTTTACTTTTGTTTGTACTGCAATTTTTTTTTAAACAGCGGAAACTCAAGGTGTGTTCATTAAATGTTAAAACAGTGATAGAGTCAGGGAAACTGGCCAGTTTAACTTGAACAGTAGATTATAATGTGTACTAATCCCAGACACTTGATTATATGTAATCACAACAGGGCAGGCTAGGAAAAGTGTGCTGGAGGATTATAGAAGACAGCCAGCCATTAGCATTGAATTTCCATATGACTATTAATTGGTGTCACAACCTTAAGGTTCTGTTATGTTAATTTTTTATTTGTCTTTTCAAGGGATTATGAACATGGACCATTCAGTTTGTTTTAGGAAGACAACTGTAGTTCATTTTTCACTTACATCACCATCTCCTGCAAAGACAAGCCTGTGTATAGTGTGAACTGAAGAGCCAAAGTACAGCTCTGTGGATAGCAGAAGGTACCTTCTGAATGGTGCAGATGGAGGCATTTTGGCCATGTCAGGCACTCTTCTGGGTGCTTCAGTGAGCACACCAACCAGTGGTATCTGTGGCACCAGAGCACTGAATTGTTAGTACTATCAATTGGAGCCATGGTTATGCCCTCATCCAACTCCCGTCTTTCTCTTTGGTGTGCAATACTGGTCTCCTTTCTTCCCTCCAATACAGTAGCAGCATTGGCCATGGGCTGCCTCCTGCACAGATATGCTGGGGGCGTTCTGTGTCCTCTACTCCCACGACTCACTTATGCAAGGCAAGAACACTAGAACGCCATGCTTGCAAAGTTTCCGTGTTATAAAAGGTATTCTTTTCAGGGGGCAGGATCCTTAATTAGTAGCTGGAAAAGGCAAATCTGCTCACTATGAAAACTAATTTTAAAATAAATAATTCGCCTAGGAACTACAGAGGCTATTGATCATATTGTGTCAGCAGCGAGACAAATATAACAGCATGTGGATGGTTCTTCCTTATCTCCTTAACGAAGCAACTTGAAATAAACATTTGAAAATAACAAATTACATCTGTTGTGACCCAGTTTAAGAACACTGCTCCAGTCACATTGAGAATGCGATATTATTTTTAAATAGCACAGTACATTACATTCATTAATAATCATTAAAAAAAATTATATATTTTTTTTTAGAACGGCACAATAGGCTTGCATTAGAAAATTCTCTTAACTGAAATTCAGCTGTCATGGAATCCATTACATGAGTTTAACATCACCATGAATAAATAAAACAATATGGGAAAATGAGGGAGAGGACGTTGCATTCCACAGGCAGATATTTACCATCTCTATTGTTGGACTTTCCTTCGGTGCATTAAAAATGTTCCCAGATTCATTTATGATTTTATCAAACAAGGAATCATGAAAAATTGAGCAGAATTTCATTCAGCCCAGAGGTCTCCTACAAAACATGTCTGGTCTGGAAGCGAAAAGTGATTTTACCAAGACGACTCAACAGATCAAACATGCTCTAGTCACATACCTGCCCCATCATGGTCTCCTTATACTGTTTTTTCTGTGTTACTTTGATTGGAGGCAGTTTTGTCACAGCGGACACCAAAAAATTCATTAGAATGTCCTCACAATTGGCCAGTTGGTCCACCATATTCTTCAGGCTGGCAGGCAGGTAATGAGTGTACAGGTAGTGATAATATCTAGAAAGCCAACAACAGGGGCATTAATGAAAGTCTTTGCCTTACTGGGGCTTATGGACGCCACAGGATTTCAATCCCAGTTGAGGCCCTAACTCACTGTGTGCCCCTAGGCACATCATGGGACCTTTGTTGCCTCATCCATCAAACCAGAAAAGTGGGGAGGAAAAAGCAGGATGATACGATGAACTAAGCTATTAGGGATACAAAAATTAAAAACTCCACTGGGCCTTTCACAATTACTGGGAGAGAAATAGGGTTGACTTTAAATCTTAAACAAGATAATGCAAGACTAGAATTCGGACTAGCCCACGTGCATTGTCGTAGCCAAGGTGGGTAACTGTAAGGAAGAGCATGTGGAAGCAAGAAAATTTAGCGGATGTGATTGGAGAGAAAATGGAATGTGGCCGAATAAGGCCTTCACAACTGCAGTTCAGATGATTCTGTTGTGGACCTAAATAAATCTAGATCCCTCTTTAACCGGTGCCTACTTCCTCCTTTGTGGGGAATGGATCAAATACAGCAGTATAATTTGACTTTATTAAAGGCTAAGAGAGGCCTCCTATCTACCCCTGCTCTACTGAAGTGGTAATAATGTGAATTCTTGCCACTATATGGTGCCTGAACTGCAAGGGGTCACTGCACTAAAGATTCAAGCGTGGCTGGAAGAGTTAGCAGGTCTACTGGCCAGGACAGTCAGCTACCACAAACCCATAGTCAGTCTGGCACCAACCTTCACTCCTCTGCACTACAGGCCATTTGGCCCAGGAGTTTAATAAATTTGGGGCTTCTTTGAAGTGCATAATTCCTGGTGTTAAAAAGAGCAGTTAGACTGCCTCAAAATACAAAAGAGATCTAGGGAACACAGTTGTTATCATTACCAGATCCCCAGAGCCAAACTGGGAATTTAAATAATTACCCTATAAGCAGAGGAGAGCTTCATCTATTCTCTACCTACGTTTCCAATAGGATTCTCCCCCCCCCTCCTTTTTTTTTGAAGGGGAGACAAGAGTTCCTTTTTTGGGGGAGAGGGAATGATAAGATTTTCATTCCTTCTTTCAGTCAGGAACAAATTTATTCACCACCTTTAATAAAATAAATAAATAAAAATAATAATAAAGACAAAGATGCTTTGGTTTCTTACTTGTGGTAAATAGCAGCTCCTGTCAATACCATGGAATAGTCATTAGTCCATTTGGATGTATAGCCCCATCTCTCCTTAGTATTATCCCAAAAGTGACTGCGAGCAGGGTACCCTACAATCCTCTCCGGAAAACTCTGCCATACTGTAAAGGCAAAATCCACCTGCAGGCAAAGACACATGCCCAATGAATAATCAAACTGTTTCAGTAATTGTCAACAAAACAAAATATTATCTTGCCACTAATTCATAATTCAAAATCTTGGAACTGTTGCAAAACATTAATTCGGTGTATTCATCAGTAAATTAAAGCGATTGCTTGACATTTTGCCCTATAATTATGCACATTTTAATTTTTTCTGTTAAAGGAAGTCTTGAGCATTGCAGCATTACATTAACATTTTGCAGATATGCCCTTTACAATTCAAACCTTTTCAAACAGAATCGTATACGTGTGTGCATTTATACTTCTATGCCAGGGATGGTCAAACTTACTGACCCTCCAAGCCGCATACGACAATCTTCAGAAGTTCGAGAGCCGGAGTGCCACTGCCAGGGCTCGGGGCTTCAGCCCTGCCACAAGGTGTTGGGGTTAGGGGCTTCTGCCCTGCAGAGCTGGGGGGTCTCGGGGCTTCAGACCCGTGGGAGGCAGCTGCTGGGGCTCGGGGCTTCAGCCCCACTCCCGCTGAAGCCCCAAGACCCCCTTCCCTGCTGCCGTAAGTGCTGGAACTAGGAGTTGAAGTGGTTTCAATTATATACAGGGTTTACAGTTTGGTTTAATGACTCTCAGCACCCCCACTATAAAAATTATTCCAGCGCCCCTGCCTGCTGGGCAGAAGCTCCTAGCGCCACCACGCCGCTGAAGGGCAGAAGCCCCGAGTTCTCCCAAACAATCTGGTAGGCCGAGACTGGAGAGGGCATGGAGGGCTTCAAGAGCCGCACTTCAACTGTAAAAGAGCCGCATGCAGCTCATTAGCCACAGCTTGGCCACCCTGTTCTACGTCATTGCACATCCCCTCATCCTGCACCTTTAAGCATCTCAACTATACTCTGTGGACGAATTCAATGTTATTAACCCGAAGCATTTTAAAATCATACGTCGGGTCCTCCAAAAACAATGAGATTCGCTCAAAAATCATGTGGTTTTTTTTTAAATAATAAATATGGGGTTCTATCTATTTTCCTTCTGGTTTTTCTGCTTTTAGGATACACTTGGGTCATGTTTTAAAGTTTTTCTTTGCAGCCATGACGGGCAAAAACTTACTAAAAATAGATGAGATTCTCATGTAGTTAACATGACTCCAGGAACTGGGGCTTTCTGAAAAATACTTTATCAGCAGCCTCATGATAAAATTGTGAGAGCTGGCAACACTGCTAATTTCTCTTTAATATTCCAGCCTCTGAGCACCAAAAAAAAAAATGGGTTGCAGGAGGTCAGGAAGCCCATCAAGAAGAAGAAGAAGGGGAGCAAAAGCCAACTATAAATACCCAGGCCAAAATCATGCAAACCTACTGAGAGCTACACCTCAGTTCCACACTAAAACCATTAATCCGCACTGATGCCTGAAGTTCAACCTAGACTCAGACAAAACTTTGCTCAAAAAACCTCTCAATGAACCTTTCAGCAAACATGACCAGAGTTTCAGGTTTGTGGTGTTAAGGAGTCACACATATTTCAGCTTTAACACAGTAACACTTCTGTTAGAACAGTTACATTTCCTTGTAATTATTGCCAGAGCTTTTTCATTTACAAATTAGTGTGTGAAAGAGAAGAGACACAAACATACTGGAACATGCAGTTAGAGGCATATTCTATTCTTTCATGTTATTTGAAGGAACTTGAACCAAATGGAAAGCCAATGCAGCTAAAGTTGTTAATTCTTGTGATAATGATTTGGATGAGATCTGAACTAACACATCAAAGTACTAAAGTTGATCTGAAGGACCTTTCCTGTAAAACCTGACATCTGTTTTCTTTAGATGAGTTTGAGAATCTTAGGTTAAGAAAAATAAGAATAAACCATCTATATCTACAAATCCCTACTACTACTACTAACCCAGCTAATGTCCTCACTCATGTATTGTTTAAATATCTGTCCTTGTAATGGAAAGAAGCATTAAAACAAGCTGAGCTCCCTAGGAGAAGACGAGCCACAGTTTAGCCCCTTAAAACACTCCTTGTCCTAGATAATTTTAAGCAGCATTACCACTCAGCTGATCAGCAGGAAAAGCAACCAGTCACTTCAATCCCCGTATCATTTCCAACCTATACTGATTTCTAATTGCTTCCCATATAAATATCCCTCCAAGCAGCACTTTTGGGCTGCTACCCGTGGAAATGAAAACAATAGCAATTAGGCTTCATTTCATTATGAATGAAAAACCTTTATTAACACTAGAGCAAAGAGTGGAAAACGTGTCTGGTGAATATTCATTCACACTTGAAATGTCAGCTTGACCGTGCTTGTGAATTTTTTGTTTGCTTTCCCTAGGATGAACGCTTGGGAAAAGTGGATTTTAAGTACAAATGTTAGCTGAAAGGGAATTCTGAACTCAACAATTCAACTACGTTTGAAATGCAGTTTAGATTTATTTACATAAGCCATCCAATCAGGGAACAGAAGCAATATCAAGGCCCCGATCCTGAAAAGAAAACCATGCAGTAAACTCCTGCCCCCACGTGCAGTCCCATTGAAGTGAATGGGGCTCTACCTAGGCTCAGTGGCCTACCCACATATTTCCCATTGCAGGACAGGGGCCCAACTGACGTATGACGCTAACACACACAGACACACACATTATTTTGAATACACCTCTACCCCGATATAACACGACCCGATATAACACGAAATAGGATATAACGCGGTAAAGCAGTGCTCCGGGGGGCGGGGCTGCGCACTCTGGCGGATCAAAGAAAGTTTGATATAACGCGGTTTCACCTATAACGCGGTCAGATTTTTTGGCTCCTGAGGACAGCGTTATATCGAGGTAGAGGTGTATTTGCAGCAAATTATTCAGAGCAGTGAAAATGCTGCAAAGAAATTAACAAATCGTTTCACAAAACAAGCAAACATTAAAATTCTGCCACATCTTTAACATAAAAAGGGGCCAAACTCAGTGAAAAACTGTTGCAGATTATTTGCCTTGCGTAACCCAAAAAGGGTGCAATGACTAGGATTACAACCACTAAAACGGGTGTGTGGTGGAGGGTAGTGACGGGAATAACAAAGTGGGCTGCTGGAGTACCTTGAAGGAGACTCTGGGTAAAATCCTGGCCCCAAACAAAATCAGAGTTTTGCCATTGACTTCAAAAGGGCTAGGATTTCACCTTGTCTTGAGTAACAATCTTGAGCCGCGGGCCAGTGCAAGGAGTCTTCCTTGGAGAACGCTGGACTTTGTCCATGTTATCTCACAGAGGCGGTGTTCTTCCCATTCTGGCAGGAATGGCCCAGGTGTGGCCTGAGGGCCAATGCTGCCCTCTTCTACAATACAGAGTGCAGCACATGGGGACTACAGTGGACCTCCCCATGGATCAGCTGCATGCTGGGACTAGTAGTTCCA